TCAGTCCTGCATATGCTGCTCGAGCCTTGGAAGTACGGGCAGTTACCTCCTTCGCTGCGCTGCCGTCACTGGTCACGCAGCTACCTATGTTCAGTTCAGTTTGTACAACCATTAACCACGCATATTCGTGCGCCGGTTTTGGTTGCTGTCTTTCGGTTGCCCATTTGGATAAACATTAGGAGGAAGACAGGAAAGGTTGAAACCAGGATCAAAGAGGAAATCTAGAATTTCATTGCACCAATGTTTCTGAAAAATTGACAAGATATACGAACTCCACCGTTTACGACACTCCGCCATATCACTGTCTCTAACCATTGGGTACGATAATCCCGAGGCCCCCAGCCAGGGAGCTTAATGGGGTTCATGTGACCGAATCTCCTGGTTAGGGTTTTCATACCCTCACGCATGACCACCTGGGCTTTCTTCCACTCGTTGTCTGCTTCGGCAAACATCGTTCGCCGTGGGAACTTATCTGGTGACATGCGTAACACATGTCCAGCTACCTATGTAGGAAAAGTAATTCACTGGCCATTTAGTTTCAGAGCAGGAGTAGGCGAAACCCAGTACTGCAGTATCACTGCACTTTGAAGGTGCAATGCACATACCGAATGGGGCAACTGCACGTGTTAGCGTTTCAAGTGTGCTTTGCGCGTCCTCCATACATTCGCACAGACGGATAACGTCATCGGCGTACTCTAGAACGCACCGGCATAGTTCTATTCACTTTCCATTTTTGTTGATCGGTGTTGCGGGAGCAGTTAAACTGTGCTGAAAATGGTCGTAAAACATGGACCGGTCAGTCACTCACACACACACACAGAGCACCTGACGTCTATGGTCCATGTTGAGCATACACATTTTCTCACTGTCAGAGAAGAGATGGACCGCTGCAAGAGATGAGCCAAACTACAATGCTGATCAACAGTAACAACCGTGTGCATGTCGATCGATCGTGCTACTTATTCTTCATCATCATCATCATCATCCGCAACAGCTGGCGATTCACGGATCACATGCGCCCACAATGGTTCAGTATTTCTGTCACATGCGGTCAATAAGTAAACATACACCAATGGTGGATGCACCTGGCGGCTGCAGAGTCATGGCCACAAAATAGTGATATATTCGTGGAACACACGCACACGCACGCACGCACACACGAACAGCGGTATTGCTAAACCAACCAACCAACACGGCTTGTTCACACCGCACAAATGGTTAAATACGATCTTTAGAACCGGGGACGAAATCGAGTGGAAACCTGGAGACTAGGCCAAATTCATCGATCACAAGTATCGGATAGAAAGGCACAATTTGGGGTTCTATGTAGATGTGCAGGTTCAAACTGTGAACCGTACCTTCCGGTGTCCATCATTCGTTTCACGGGACCTGGTGTGCACGCTCTGACCCAGGTGATAGTTGCAAAAATCAATGGCCCGTGCACGGCCAGAGGTAGTCATGCAAACACACATACATACATCTGATCCGGAATTCACGTGTCGGAAGGAAGTGTGAGTTGTTTACTACTTATCTTGGTACGATATGACTGCCCCTGAAACCATCGGGGGTCGGGATAGCCCTATGCATGTACAGTATAGAGTATCTGCATCGTTCCACGGAGACAGAGTACTATCACCTATCAGAACTTACGGTTAGCCGACTTTTGGAGAAATTCAGTCATATCCACCACTATCTAAACAGACTATGAAGGTGGCGGAATTCTTACCCCCTTTTTTTCCGGTGCTTCTCGACCCGGGAACGCGAATGATGTCTTGTGATGCACAACGCTCACAGTGTGATGGTTCAGTGGTGGCCTATATCCCCAGACCGAAAATTGCACAAGAGAAAACGGAATATTGTCGGTCGTTTTCGCTACACACATGGTTCATACTCATACTGTATACGATCGATGGTACGTACACCAACGTGTGTGTATGTGTAGCGTGACGGTAATTGTGTGTGCACCAGAGAGAGAGAGAGGTGGCAAGCACGCTTGAGAACTAGTCGTGCTCCGGGAAAGCAAAAATAGGTAAACCGATGGAACGGGTTGCGCACACAAACAAAAAACAGACAGACAGAAATACCAGCGATTATCATCATTATTATTATTCAAGAAAGGGAGAGAACTGGCAATTGCGCGCATACACGAACACATTCATTGTTCGCGCATCGCATGTCATATCCACACACTCCGACAAATGGGCTCTTCGTGGCACATAGACCATATCATGTGCCCAAATATTGGATCAAACTTTGCGGCGAAATGTTCGTTCAGAAATGTTTCATTAGGCAACCCTCGGATTGGCGACTAAAGCGCTAATTCGATGCGTTGATTTCGGTTTACGAGAAAGTTTACACACATGCACACGGAATGTAACCGCAGATACCATGTGCTCCTAATGAGTATTTCAACCGAAATAATAAGAACTAGTTAGTCGATATGCAAAGTTTTGGTCAAATAGATAGAAAGCCGAGGCCAAGCAACTGTTAATTGGTTGGAAAACCCCAGTTCCATGTGTCACACGAACTGACTGCGAAGCAGTGCGAGTGCGATAGCCGCGTCTAAATATTGGGGTTACAGGGTGGGGACTAGACATCTTACGGGTTGGAGGTGATCAAGCGATCGGTCAAAGTTACAATCACTGGTGTATACTTTGAAGTCCGAAGTTCAACCTATGGCACCACCACTCAACTTTGGTGGTAGGTAGCCTAGCTGTCGTCTGGAACAATTTCCCACCACGCCTTTGACTGATTGTGCTACAAACAGCTCGGTTATTCGCCGAATGTCATTGTGTAGCATTTTTTTAAACCACGTCCCACAACGTTTGCGTTACCCAAACGGTGCCAAAAAGGAATGATCTGGAATTCTAAATGCGCGGGTCGCTGCTCTTCTTCAAACACGGTTGGATATACGTATAAAACATTGTCGACTCCGGTTGAAGAAATGCTGTTAGTATGGTTAATGAACTGCTTTTAATCGAAAAAAACTTCAAGACAGTTTGTTCATTCATAATCAATAACATCTAACCTCTCTGCTCAATGAAACTATCCAAATATCATTGTGGAAAAATTAATTTGTCAAATCATATGGAACTGGAAATGTTGGGTGAATGTAAAAGTGGAAAAATTCACTGTATTTGCTCATGGTAGAAAGTTCAGTTTGTACAACCATTAACCACGCATATTCGTGCGCCGGTTTTGGTTGCTGTCTTTCGGTTGCCCATTTGGATAAACATTAGGAGGAAGACAGGAAAGGTTGAAACCAGGATCAAAGAGGAAATCTAGAATTTCATTGCACTAATGTTTCTGAAAAATTGACAAGATATACGAACTCCACCGTTTACGACACTCCGCCATATCACTGTCTCTAACCATTGGGTACGATAATCCCGAGGCCCCCAGCCAGGGAGCTTAATGGGGTTCATGTGACCGAATCTCCTGGTTAGGGTTTCCATATCCTCATGCCAGGTCTTAGCTTGACCACCATTGGTTTTAATTCAACCACTACCTGCCTCGGCAAACATCGTTCGCCGTGGGAACTTATCTGGTGACATGGTAACACATGCCACGACCAACGTAATCTATGGAGGTCGACAGAAAAGAAAGGGACATACCAGAACCCCCCGATTGAATTGGACATTAACTCTCTTTAAGTAAGAGATGGAATTGTGATCGCATCTGATACCTGTCATTCCACGTTCCATCAATTGGCCAACACCGTTGTGAGCAACATACGTGTTTGGGGGTTCCTCCATACAAATCATCATGCGTTTGTTGAACGATTCGTTACACCTGATCGTGGGAGGAGAGGGAACTTCGGCCATGCGTTGATGGCTCCTGCAACCGCATTTGGTTTGTGACAGTTTCCCACTATAGTAGTGCAAATCTGTGCATAGGTCTGTCTCATTTACTTGTTCAATAGTTTGTTGTTACGATTGCCACCTGCGGTCCCAAACAGACATCAGTGTGTCAATCGTACTGGACCGAAATCGCAACCACTACTTAGGTCTTGTGCTCCCGTTCGATCAAAGAAAGCATCGCTGAGTTATCCGAATCTTTTCTCTATACTGTACTTCTTCCCGTGTGTGCATTTCTCCGTTCTCCCTCTAATATCATGGTCAGTGAAGTGTTTTGTGATCGCTGAAAAGTAAGCTTTGAGTCCGCACAAGCCTGACAATATGATAAAATAACAAATTCGTTGAAGCAGCTTTTATTGTTCTTGATTCAAAAGCGTTTGATAAACGGATCGTCAACCAGATACTCTTTCTAAACGTCAAGAACAATCAAACTAAAGGCCCAGAGAATTTATAAACCCCTTACTTTAGTTTCCCATCAGGGCAATCATAAAAACAATTTGATTCCCGTACAGCTGCCATTTTTTGAAGGCTATCAAGCAACGCTAGGCAGCTTAGTGCCTCGCCTTTACGGTTGGATAGACTGTTTTCGGGTTAATCATTTCAACATCTAAGCAATAGGTTATTTACGTCCTTGAACGAAATCTAAGACCACAGTTTATTTATCCGGGAAACCGTTCACATCAGACCGAAATGAAATTTGTACAACAAGAAAGACAGATTGGTCGACGGACAATGCAGTGGAACTAATTTGTGACGGAATATGCATCACTTCACACACACACACACACACACACACACACACACACACACACACCACCACCACCACCACCACCTGGTTTGGTCCTTCCTCTTCCTGATTCTGAACACAGAATGGTGGATCACATTCGGATGTATGCGAAAATAGATAACTAGACTCGGATGGCGGGAGGGGGCGGGACGTAATGAAGTCGATCTGATTCAGACCTGTCATTGCGGTTTGGGAAGTTATGACCGAATGAATCAATCCACAGCAAGGAATACATCGAGAGAGAGAGAGAGAGGGAAGCAACAAACACTTGACAGGTGAATTACAACTTACTTCGTACGGTAGTTGGTACTCCTCTGGACCGTATAGGTCATAGACCCAACAACGTCGAGTCATTTCCCAAAACACAAGTCCAAGGCTGTACATGTCTGCTTGTTTGAATGCCTCTGGAGAGTTCTGTCGAATCGTGTTGTCCAATACCTCTGGCGCCATGTACCGTTTGGTTCCCACACGATCCGAGTGAGCAGACAGATCCAACGTGTCCAAATTGGAGTCGAGTTTCAAAGCGAAACCCAGATCCCCTATGCAACATTCCCCATCCGTTTTGACCAGTATGTTACGAGATTTCAAATCTCGATGTGCGATAGCTGGTTTGCCCTGCAACGAAAGAGGAAAATGGGATCACGATGACTGAATTATGACTAATGGTCAGCTTCGCCTTGGACACCTATAAATCGATGAAACTACTAGCTCAGTGAACAAATGGCCCCTTAACCACTCAAACTGAGCTACAAAGATGGCTGATTTTGTTTGCGAAGCTATCATAGAAGCAAGCTAAACTTGCCAAAACAACGATAGATTTCAGCAAACGATCAATGTTGATTGTCTGCTACCCGCGAACGGTGCACGTATGAGAACCACATTAGTTTGGGGCTGCGTCGAGAAAGCATCGAACATATTTTAACACACTGAAACACTTGAACACAAACACGCTCGAAACATTTCCGCCTTTCTTGGTTTAAAACCAGAATTCGATTCAGTGAAGGCACGATACGCTGGTGCTGTTTGTCCGTGAACGGGACGTCAGGGAAGTTGATTTCTTTATTGCGATCCCTGTATACAAGAAACCGAAGCTGCGTTGCATCAAAGGTCTCTTTCCCGCCCGAGCCCCCCAAGGAAAACGGATCATACACCTTCTGAACAGGGTCAAACGTCCAAGGCTCCCAATAGACCTCGATGCTCAATCGAGCCGGTGACCACTGCCACAATAAGGAAGGTGTGTGTGCTTCACACGCCTTTTCTTGGTTGGTTTCGAATCAGGGTTTTGGCAAACTTTCCTAAGTGAAATGCCAATGGTTCACCGACCCGGCTATAGCCCTAGATATTGGATATTCGTCTTCTCACTTTGGTTGGAAAACATTTCTGCCATGAGAAGGAACTAAGTACAGCTTCCTCAGCAGAGGCTATTTAAGACGCTTGGTCGTATAAGATCATTTTGCGAGGGGAAACCAGACGCAACCCGAGACACCTACCCCGACCATACATAGGCCTTCAGCGGTATGATTTTAGAAATGACCCTATTCTCATACGAAACCAAGAGTGCGGATCTTCGAAGGCTAGTTGTCTGATCCAGAGAACGTAAATGACAAAGGTTGTTCGCAAACTNAGTGTTAGTGTTCAGCATGCGTTTTTTCAACTTCGAAGTGCAAATTGTCAGTGGACTGGGTTAGTCTACCTCCGAAGTTTCGTCGAACAAGGGAGGCAACAGATGAAGTAGGCGAGTACAGTTCACCTGGAGAACGAATCTCCGATGAGATACGCTTCGGGACCATAGCAAGTTCGGTTGTCTGTGAACGTCTGGGTGTATACTGTCGCTGTCCGGCCGGTTCTCTATTATGCTGCAGAGATATGGCCGTTAGGCGTGAAAGAGCAGACCAACAGTACTTGGGGAGCGCTGTCTATATCGCCCAAGTCTGGTGCGATAGCCGTAAAAACTGCCCAATTTAGTTGCACAGTTTTAGGTAATTACCATCGCGCACTCCAACAAATACTAAAGCTCCATCGATTGCGATGTTTGGAAATTCTTGATGAGAATCGCAAGCCGAGAGGAAGCATGCTCAAGGGGATCAGAATACGATTAGCGCATCGAAGTGGCGGAAACCCTGGCCAACAATCTCGATCACATAGGCTGCATTATGCTTTCCGGTCGGGGACCTGAATGCACTGGGTTATAGGATTGAATGCGGTACTAGTGTATCTACTCGCTTTCTACACAGATCTTGTTCTCGAGTTTTTTTGCAAAGGTAAGGGTAGTGGCTTATGGATCAGGTACATATAGTGACATCGGTGCATAATAACGAAGTGGACATGAAACTCGTTATCTTTGCATCACCGTTTGTGTTTGAAGAGTTCGGAAAATCTGCAACGAATGAGAAAATCAGATGCTGGAAGCAGGTACTAGTAGCAATACTGAGATGAGCGTGGAATACGTGATGAAAGAAACATAAATGGAGTCGACACGAGGAGGCCCGGTTTAAAGTTTAAAGGTCGCTTTGGAGTTAATAACTATTATTGATTCTAGATTTCCAATAACTGATATCACTAGGATGACGTTGATGGGTAAGCACGAGGAAGAAATGAAAAGGGGTTGTGTGTGTGTCATGGTAATTGGACAGAAAGGCAATAAGGACGAGAAAAATATCCAGCACTACAGCGCAATAACAGTTCCCTTCGCTAAATACTTGGTTCATACAAGAATCAAAACAAAAGTTCCAGTAAACGTACAGTCAGGACAAATGAAATAATCAGATGATCTTCATATTCTGTATTTCAACTAATTCCTGCGATTATCGATTTTCCATCCATACTTTCAACAAACTGACTTACAAAAACCCGATGGGCTTCGGATTCTACGCTTCAATCGAAGCACTTAATATTCTGTTTAGGTCGGCTGAAACTCAGTCTTGCGGGCCATACAATCCCATATTCACCATTTGACCTGATGGTTGTACGGTTCATAATGCAATTTGTACTGAACCCAACGGATATCTTCTGATTAATCAGCAGAATTTTCAGTTTGAACAAACCATTAACCATGCATTTTCGTGCGCCGATTTTGGTTACTGCCTTTTGCCTGCTCATTTCGATGAAGCGGCAGAAGAAAGTAGAGTCAAAAAGAAAATAGAGAAGTTCAGTCGACTGAGGTTGCAAAGAAACTGAGTAGATACACAAGCGCCACTGTTTACGATACTCAACCATATCACTCAGTATCTCTAACCAAGAATTATAGTTATCCCAACGTCCCCATTTAGGTAGTTTAGCAACATCACGACGAGACTGCACCTTGACGTGGTGTGATGGCTTGCGTGCCTCCATGATCCTGCGAGCTACACAGGATGGCTTTTCACAGCCGTAGATCCAATCATGCCTGAAAGGTCAACGGGTAGAGGCCAGACAAAACTCTATCTCACAAAGCCAGCTGTTTGGGCACCTACTGGCTTCATTCGTTTATCTACACCCACCCCTGGAGAGGACACTCCAACAAACAAACACGGTGAGCGGCAGTTTACCCGTCGAAAAAAACCGCTAGATGAACGTAAGAGCGGGGTACCTGGAGGCTTCCTCTCGA